CGAAGTTTCCTGGGCTAAGCTCGAATTCACGATCCTTTTGCCTCAGTCTCCCAGAGGGCTAGGATTACAGGTGTGTGCTACCACCATGTAGATCTCAGATTTATGTGTTAAGGGAATATATGTTTAAAATAAATTTTAACACCATTTAAAAGATCTCTATTTAAGTAATATAGACTAGAAATTGTTAAATGCTGTCTATCATGTAAGTAAACATGCCTAAAATAGTATTTGGTCCAAATTAGGTATCAAATGAATTCCCTCTGTTCTTTCTCCTACTTTTGATGATGAGGAGGAATAAAAGTCTAGGGCCTCAGTCCCTGTCTGCAACTCCATACATTCAATGACCTCTGTCATTTACCTGTCTGCACTCTAGCTCTCCAGAGGGCTGGGAATAAGACTGTAAGATGTATGGTATTATACATCATATAAAGAAGGAGTGAGGTAAGTATTACTGTATATCCACATCTACAAGCCAGTAGCTGCAGGAGTTGGGTATCATTTTTGTCAGGATGTCTGTTCTTCTTTTGTGGAGCAAGAAATCATTAGCCAAAACTAGTTTACCTCCAAGTGAGCCAACTCAGCTCTTTCTATAAATGTTCTAGCACAGTTCAGACATAATACATTTGTATATGCTCTGTACACTGTTATTTTTTCCTATTACTGCCAAGGAAGCTTGAAAGTCCTTCAAAATATATAAGAAGTGAGAGCAATAGTTAACTTCTAAAATTTCTAGGAATGTATGAGAAGGTGCTTTGTGAGGTCGCTAAGTTTGTGGACCACCATATAGCACCATGGTACCTTCATTAAGAACTCTTTAACCATAGCAACAAGCCATGTCTTGCCAGGCTTTTCTCATGCCTCTCACATTAGCCTTGGACACTTAGGGACAAACTAACACCCATGCAGCAAATGCAAAAACATACTAGCATTCTAAAGAAGGGGCAAATATGACCTCAACAACCTTGCCCTGCAAGACAGTAGGGCAAAGAAGGCATAAACATCCTTCCTCTACAGGTCTGGTTACTTGATTTTGCTTTCCTCTTTGTGACCCCAGAGTGTATGCTTTTGCGATTCTAAATTGACAGAGATGGTGCTAGAATATTACAGAAAGCTATTTGTGGGCAGAGGTCACACAGCAATGACTGAAGTCATTTGAGTCCCCATTGCATTGGCCAAAGTGCTTTAATTGAGAGTAGGGGATAAGGGGAAAAAGGTGAAAAAATAAGAGAAGATTTACTCCTAGAGACCTTAGGAAGTTGATGAAAAAAATATTATTTTGTGCAGCCTAGGAGAAAACAAGTTTTTGTTTAAAGCCCCCAGTAAAGAGGAGATTGCACAAATTCATCAACTATTTGGTTCTGACTTCCCCCTCTCCTGCTTTTGTATGAATACACTATGTTTAATATCTCATTAGAAAGTCTGTGTATTAAAAAGAATGTAATAATGGCTCATCTCAAGGAAGATACTTTTTCTCAGTGTGATGTGATAATTTAAACATGAAATAAGTATAACATTGAACATTTTTCCTAGTATAAAGACAATCAAAATTTAGGTAACCTTAAATCTTTAAAATAAACAAAACACAGTATACATATAATTTTTCAACTTTTCTGCAAGTTTTCATGAATATCAGGAATACATAGACTATGAAAGAAGCTTTTCAACTGTTAAGTTTCTAATTTTTTCTGTATCATCAGATGGCATAGGATGTGAACATTTTACACTTAAAGAAAAATAATTTTAGCTTTTTGGGAAATTTAGCCTTACTTATTTAAAAGAACTCCAAAGTTCCTTTGAAGGCATAACCCAGGTCTGTGGTTGCAGTAAAAAGTGATGAAATTCATGGTTTAACCACAGTTTAGCAATGCAATAACATCCATAGTTGGCATGATCAAGGGCTTGAGGAAGGGAAGATTTTTAGTGAATGTTAACAATATAGAGAGAAATCTTGGGTTAGTCATGGGACTTAGATGGCTAACCTCTGAGTCGGAGTGCAGTATGCCTTCTTTACTTTTCAGATTTTACCAGTGCTTTTATCTTTGGCAGATTAAGCTGTTTTTTTCTCCATCATCTTTAATTGATTTAGGGTGGATCCCACATCTGGATACCTATATCTCTGAAGGGTTTGGTTCTGAAATAAATATGAAAGTTGGAAGGTGTCGGAGTGGGGAGAAGGAACCACTTTAATTGCCTCTGGGAATCCTCTAACCAATCTTCGTTTGGCTCATTGGCGTCCTTGGATAAAGGAGAATGGAGGGAGGTCGAGGGGGAAAAAAAAGCCAAGGAACGTTCAAAAAGTAGCGTGCAAAAACCCAAAAGTAGAGGAGAGCTGAACTCTGAGAAGTTTCACAATAGACTACATTAAGATTCTTTTTGATAACAATGAAAACATTTGCTTCGTGATTTTATTTCTTAATCAAGATAGGTAAAACAAAATGCCGCTCCTCCACATCCCTTTCTCGATCGGAGAGCAAAGGTATAGAGACTTCAGAGCACCCACCCACCACACAAAGCACTACTCAACTACACTGGGGCAATCAGGTAAGATAATGTATACACAGTAATGGAGTTTGAGATCAGGTGTTCTTTTGCATTTGTTTTTATTCTGATGAAATAACTCTCCGTGCATAATAATGACTTAAAACTGAAAAACAGCATTGGAGATTGCAAAATGGCTGGTTGCAGCTCTTGTGGCACTGCTGGAGGAGAGAGAAAACACTATCTCCTTCCAAACAGGGGCCACCCGGAAGTCCCGAGGGGCGCAGGGAGCCGGGCTGATGGTCAGGGACTCACTGGGACTAGCGGCAGTGGCGCAGCCTGGGGCACCATAGGTAGGCGGCTCCCGGGAGTTGGAGGAGGGGTCTACATTCCGGGGCCGTTCATTCCTCGCGCTCTCGGCGCTTCCGCGATCCCTAAGGCTGACCTCGGTCAGGGAAGCGAGTGCGCTGGCTGGGTCTCCCACGCTGTTTAGTCCTCCAAGAATGGGACTGTCCCCTCTCCTCTCCCTTCTTTCTGGCCCACTGTGTGTTGCAGGGGGCAAGAATAGGTGACGGGTGCTTGAGACTTGGGGCTAGAACCGGCAGAGTGTCTGGCGTCCAAACTCTGGATTCCCGCAAGCGAAGTTGTACACCAGGCTCACCTGGAATCACCTCGGGGTCTGAAGGAGGAGGCTCCAGGGTGCAGGCGGGAGGGTTGATGTGCAAGGGGACGGATGCAGTTGATTTGAAGAGTCTCTGGCCTCAGTCAGCTTCAGGGGACAGAGCTCAGGACTGCGGACTGGTGTCTCTAAGAGTTGGACCGGGGAGCTGCAAGGGGTCGCAGACTCTGGCTGGAGTTTAAACTATGGAGCGCAGCGAGTAGCCACTGTAGCTCGGCTTTTCTGGGTCTCCGCTCCTGTGTCATGTGGAGGAAGGACGGGTCGGGGGAAGGTGCTTCAGCCCTCGAAAAGCAGTCTCCGAGATGTAAAGAATGAGATTTCCAAAGCGGTGCGCCGTGGCTGCCACCGCCCGCCCTGGATCTTCGAGACTCAGATCATTTCGGTGGCGGGGGTCCTTCCAGGTCGCGGTGTGGCCAGAACTGTCTCAGGCACAGTCGTCAGAGATTCTTCTAGATCAGCTTGGGCCACGCCGTGGACCTCTATCCCGTGCCGTCATCCTCTGGCCCGCCGTTTCTATTGGCTGCCCCAACACCTCGGGGCTCTCACTTATCCTTCGGAGGTCCCACTTGAGGGCAAGGCTGGGGAGAGGGAGGGCTGGCAACTCGCAGGAGCCTCGGAAACCGAACTGGGTCCCGGGGGCAGGTTGTGGTTAAGGCTAGAGGTGTTCAAGAAAAGAGAGTGCATGCAGAATTAGGAAACTATAGGAATTTTATCCCCTCTGGCAACAGAGCAAAACCCTAAGCAATGTGTCCGTTCCGTATCCCCAAGACAATACAATCTAGCCCTACACCAGCTGCTCCCCAGTAAAGGCGAAGCCTTCTTCGTAAGCTGTCCTGGGGTCCAGCTTTTCCGCACCGAGGACTTTTTGTTCGGGCGCTGCCCAGCCATTGCGCCTAAGACTCCCAGAGCTCCTCTGTCCTCCCCCCTGCTTGGGACAAAGTACCCGCGGGCCTCGCAAACGGACCGCCTTGCTCGGGGCTGCGCCGCCTCTGGCGCACTCCTCAGATCGCCGAGGGCCAAGATTTTCTTCTGCAGGGGCAGGAATTCTTTCCCTGCTCGACGAGAACCAGTCCTGGCCAGGTGCCCCACAACACGCGTGGCGCGCCTCGTTACCAGAAGCTGACTGATCTCCCGGGTAGCCTCAACTTAATTTCCTGCCCTTCCTGGCACGGTCTTCTGGGAAACCTCTCCCGGACCCCTCGAGTCCTCACCAAAGGGCAAGGAAACGTTCGAATCTCCTCGGAAAGGCTCAATTTAAGAGCAGGGTGGGGCGGAGTGGACGGGCCGAGGTTGTTCTTTGAGACTGAATCCATTTGGAAGGATATTGGGCGGATAAAGACCAAGTTTGTGCACTTGGTCCACGGAGCGATTGCAAACCGAGAAAACAAACAGCGACCGAGGAAATGCGGACTTTGTCCAGCAGAGTTAGCTGCTGATGGGTGCGCGGAAACGCTTGCGATGTGAACTTTCTGCAGATAGTGTGTGGAGGGAGCTAAAGGAAAGGAGGGAGGGGAGCGGGTCGGAGGGGGCCGCGTGGCTTAGAGTCCGGCGTGGGGGATGTCTGTGTGCCCTGGAACTGGGGTGGGATGTGGCGACGAAGGCAGTGAAAAGAGTAGACCACAAACTTCGGGCTAATTGGCTTAAGGCATTTTGCAAGCGCTGGAAAAGGTCATTGAAGGAGTTAGCTGCGCAGAAAAAAAAAAAAATTTTAAAAAAGAGTGCTGGGCATGCGCATAGAGAGGATGCCATATTGGAATGAGGCTGTAGTGGGAGCTGGAGGACTGGAGCGGGCGCGCGAGGGAGGCGACAGGCAAGGAGCGAGGGCGGCGAGGGCGGGCGGGCGGACGAACGAGCGAGCGAGGCCGGCGCCCTCTCCGGAGACGCCCGGGGCCGGGGTCCACGCTGAGGCAGGACGGACTTCTTCAGGTAGGACGCCTCACCGGCCGCTGTCCCCGGCCCGCGAGCAGAGGGCCCGCAGGTTGAGGGCGCGGGTCAGCGTCTTTTTTTCCAGCTTAGAAAAAAAGGGAAGCCTGATCCACCCTGGGGTGGAGGTGGGGGTGGGGGAGGAAAGAGGAGAGGAGCCCAAGAAAAGGGCTAGAGAAGAAAGCGACAGCACTTGAGAGAAACCCCAAACTCCTCTCTGCGCTCCGGGTTGTCATTTTTGCTTCCCCGTCCCCTTCCTCCGAGTCTTTGGCCTCTGAAAAGCCCCGCCGTGTGGGAGTCCGTCTGGAGTTGCGAAGTGTCCCCCTCCTCCCCGGGCAGCCCGACCCTACCTCATTTGTGCACTCATTTTAGCGGAGCAGCTACCTACCCTGCGCTCCCGCGTCTCCTGCGCGCTGAGATCTCCTTTTGGGGTGTGTGTGGAGTGGGGGGTGGGGAAAAGATGGTGGGGAGGGGGGTTGGAGACCAGGCAGGGGGTCCGAAATCTCTGAGACATCTGATATCTCCCCCTTGAAAACATTTGCCTGTGCAGCTGAAATGAAATTGTCAGTAGTAGTTTCGGAGCGTGCTCCAGCAAAGATGATCTTTTTGTTCATTTTTAAAATCCCCCTTAAAGTAATATCCTGTCATTTGGGGCTTTCCTGTTGTCTTCTAGTCTTCGACTTCCTTTCAAAATTGCTAGCCTGCTCAGGCTTTGGACTTTATTTTTTAATATGCGTGCGCGCGCGCCAGCGTGTGTCTTGCTGAAATGCTCCCAAAAAGCAACTGTAGGAACTGCGGGATCTATTTATTGATTTTGACCCGGGGCGGCTGGAGGGGATTAGCGGGGGAAGGGGGAGACCTGGGAATGGGAAGTGGTTGCTTCTCGGTGGCCGGACGCGCGTCCAGAGCCCCAGCCCTACTAGTGTTTTCTTCGAAGCGCTACAACAGCGGGGAAGGAGTCTGTAGACGCCGTGCCAGTTTCAATATGGCGGGCTAGGTGGCTTTTAAAAACTGAAAATAAAGGTTTTTGTGGTGGGAAAAAACCCAACCGAAGTGGCCACGCCTTAGTTTCGACTCTCTTTGGTTACTCCGGGAGTCGCTTTAGCGAATTAAGTGGGAAAAAAGAGAGGGAACGAGCTGCCCTGGTTTTTTCCGTGGTTAGAGTCTGTGTCAAGTCCATTGCTAGAGGGTAAAGGGTGGACGGTTGCCTTTGGCCGGGACTAGAACATGGACGCGCGATTGCCCTGTGTGCTGTGGATCTGTGTACAGTACATGGGTGTGTGTGCAATTGCGGGGTGGGGGCTTGGTAAAGAGATCCGCCCGGGATGTGAATGCGTCTCGGAACCAAGACCTTGCCCCGATGTGACGTGACAAACTGCTGACACGTGGTGCAAAAATATATGAGGGCAGAGGGAATGATTTATTTCGGCTTTCTAGAAGGTGAGCTCTCTTTCTCTCTGTGCGCTGGATCCTGTGCAAGGAAATTCCTGAATAAGTGGAGCGAGGAGGTGCTTAATAAAGAGACTAACTGTCCAGGGTGCAGGGTGCAGTCGGGCTGCAGACGTCAGTGGGATTTTGTGTGTGCTGGATTTAGTTTGGGCTTCTGCTTCCCTTCACGCCACCCTGGGGTGGAAGGTTGGGGGCCACGCCAAGGCGCTGGGAGGATGAAAGCGCGGGGGCCGAAGGATGGGGCTTGCACAGCTCGGCCGTCCCAAAGAGGTGTAGTCAGAGTGGGGAGCTGCTTTTGGGTTTCGCTTCGCGCTGTTGGCGTTTGGGGAAAGTGCTGGGGGTGAGGGGGGCTGCCCCTCGCTCCGGTAGAGAACCAAAGGGCTGCGTCTGAGGCGTCTTCCTCTGGCCTTGGCAGGCACGCAGGCAGGGCTGTAGCCTTGGGGAGTAAGTGGGGGTCCAAGTGTTCAGGCAAGGCCAGCATGTGGGCCTGGGGGTGGAATTTGGAGACAAAAATCGGAGCCAGTAAGGAGAACCTTAGGGAAAACAGGCAAACGCTAGCATGAGGAAGAGCCATCCAGAATGCGGGAACATGGCTTAGCTGGGAACTGGGGTCCCCGACAGGGGTCGCCCTAGTCCAGGACGCAGCCGCTGAGCGGAGGACTGACAGCTGTGCCAGCGGGAAAGACCCTAAGAGAGGACGGGGGCCACGCGGTGGTCGCCAGTGGTCCCCGGGCCCAGCTAGGGCAGGTCCCAGTGACCTTTTCCGGGCCCTCGAACCTGACCGCATAACGGCCAAAAGCTGGGAGACATTTTTTAAATGACACTTAAAAAATAGTGTTACCCAGGTTTGTAGTTACCACAGCAACGTAGACTCCAGCCTTTGCAGGGGCCCAGTGGAGGTTTTATAGGGTCGTTTAGACTAGGGCCGTGCTGTCGGAGGGGCGGGTCTGCTAGCGGAGTAAGGTGGGTGTGGGCTAGAATGCACCAGGATTGGAGACAACGCGACTGGCTTTCCCTCCCACCCGGGCGGCGAGGCTGAGCGATTGGCGACGCGCGGACCGGTCCCCCACCCCCACCCCGCGCCCCACCGTGCCTCCTGGGACTGCGCTCCGAGTGCTCTGCTAGGTACAGACTAGCCTAAAATGGCTCTGTGCTAGTAAACTGCAGTTTCAGCCGCGAACCCCACCCCTCGCCCTCCTGACGTCTTTGCGGACAAGGGTACAATTCACTCCAGCGTACCGAAACCCCCGATTTTGCTCCGAGCTGTGCGGTGGAAGCGAGGACTGCATACAGGCGATTACGAAGGACATTCCGTAGGATTCTCGCAGGACCCAAGTTTTCCTTGGAACTGAAACTGTCCCGGAGCCCAGCCGACCACCGTCCCAGCACCGAAGGGTCGTAGGGTGCTCCAGCGGCTGGGGGGTGGTGTGGGCTGGGGTCTTTTATGTACAAAAAAACCGAAGGATGTCCCCGCACACTTGGATGGTGGCTGTACGGAGCGATGGTCACTGCCACTAATGAGCTTCCTTGGTGGCATTTGCAGTGTCCGGTAGTCCTGAGACAGGGAGCCTGGGAGATTGTTCCCAAACTTCTGGAGCTCTCTCGCAGTTTCGCTTTCGGAATTTTCAGGATCCTTGGGTTTCTAGAGTTGGGTGGGATTCCGGTAAGGGCACGGAGACTCTCGGTCCTCTCCGTGCGGTGGCCTGTCTGCCCGCCCACCTCGGGATCTCTTGGCTTTGCTTCCCTGTACCGCCCCGCGCTGTGAGGGAATTGGGGATCCCCGGCCTGCGCGCCTCCCCGCGCTGCTTCCGGAGGTTCAGGTCAAGCTGCCGCTGCCGATCAGAAGCGGAGCGGTGGGAAACCTTATTTTAGGAGGGTTCACCTCACTTGGATCCCAAACCATCGCAGCTGCCCAGCGCTCTCCTTCACCCCTCCACCCTTGCACCTTAGCCAAGGAACCTGGGCGACAGATTGACGTGTCTACATCGGGCAAATGGATCCAGGTTCAACCAGGTCGGAGAAAAATCGAAAACGCTTAAATTCAACTTTATTTCCTGGGGAGACGATTGGGGGTGGGGAAGGAGATAGGCGATGGGGGGAGGGGAGGGGAGAAGGATTGGTGGTCTGAAGGAACTGTTGGCCGGGCTGTCCTTTGAGATGGGAGATCTGCTACTTTTTCCTTACTAAGCATTAAATTTGCACACATTTTGCTTCCTCCCTGCCACAAATAAATACCGTCTCAGATCTTTATCTTAGCTCTATGCTGGGTCAGAGCCCTCCGACAAGTGAGGAGCCAGGAGAAATGCATGCACACCCCAAAGCCTCCAGACCCCCACCCAAGTTTTTACTGCCTGCAAGGTGCATTTTGGGCCATGCATAAACACTGCCCAGTGGCTGGGGGTCTCGGCCGTTCCCATGGTAGAGAGAAGTGCAGTCAAGTGCGCAGTTTTGATGCATGTTGCTCCCGAAGTGCTTGCCAGACCTGTTGAGCTGAGAGTGGAGAGTTTCAAGTTGCCTGTTAGGATACTGCTACCTTGAACCTCAATCCCGCTGGGAGTGCATTTCACTAATGATAGAGTAATTGATCATCAAGTTTTTCCTCCACGAAGAGTTCTTGCAGAAATTATAGACCAATTTAAAAAAGCTTGCTAGATATAAATGGCAAGTTCCATGATTCTTGGCATTAATAAAACAAAGCCAGAATAGATTCCTGACTCCTCCCTGTTCCTTTTTTATCATAGACCTTCCTGGGAATATTAAACTGTTCATCATAGGCCCTGTGAGCCTACTTTAGCTGAGATAGCTTTTTCTACTTTTGTGTACGTGCCAGTGGCCCCAGAGGACTCAGAAGAAATATTGATGATGGGAACAAGGTTGAGAGTATAAGTACTTGGGATTCTGTTATTGGATAGGAGATTCCTGGGGTCTAAGAAGCCCATGTAATGCAAATTCAAACTTCCCAGGGTTGACACTTCTGTGTAAAATATTTTTTTGGATATCAGAATAAAAGCACTTTTTTTTTTTTTTTTTTTTTGTACTGGGGATCAAACTCAGGACCTTGCACTTGCCAGGAAGGCGCAGTGCCACTGAGCTACATCCATGGCCCAAAAGTTCTACTTTTTAAAAAAATAATTTGAACAAAAAACACTCCTTATGGAATTTTCATGACCTCCAATTCTGATGTAATGGGTTTGGGCAACATTTCTCTCTTTGTATTTCACTATGCAAAATTTTTAGAGTTCATGTAAGGAGTGTAGGAGTAATAAGGAGACTTTTGTATTAAAATGGCATTAAGATCTGCAATTCAAAATTTTTGATGGTTCTCATTCTTACATCTGCATTGCTTCAGCAGCAATTTACTATCTGGATTTCACACATAATAGTAGTTAGGGAGAGCTGGGCATGATGGCTCATGCCTGTAATCCCAGCACTTGGTAGGCTGAGACGGGAGGATTGCTGGATTGCTGTGAGTTTGAGGTCAGCCTGGACTACATAGTAAGTTCAAGTCCAGCCTGGAATAATACAAAGTGAGACCCTGACTCAAAAAAAAACAC